AATACCTGCGCTCGTATTTCCAGTATATGGTCGATATGGAGGGACAGGTAGATGTGAGACAGGATCAGAGCCCGCGGTATAACTTCCGGGCGATTCGCTGGAACCCCAATAGAGCCCTATTTCTGGACCGTCTCTATAGGTCGGCCCCACTGTCGATGCAATGCAATCAATCATCCGGTGAACGCTTTCCGGTATTTATTAATATGTTTTTTATTAATTGAAGTGATTTTTATATTTTATATTTATGTATGTAAAGGGTTATTGGAATGGCATACCTGTCCCGGAGATCCATTTCCCGATCAAAGAGGTTAAAAGAAATTGTAGTAAAGTTTAATGTATTTTCGCGTTTTATTGTTTATTTTAAATTTTGTTTTACATTTAAATTTAATAAAATTATTCTGACATAAATCTGAATTATACGATATAATATTCAGTTGCGAGTAATATAGCAATACATGTTTGGCAATACTGTAATTTGTTTTATATTTTATAAATAAATTTAAAGACATAACAGTATACTGTAGATGTATATTTTAAAATTATATTTTTCTTTATATTCAATTATTAATATAGTTATAATAGTTGTTATATTTTCAATAGTAGTTACAATTGTACAGTAACATTAATTATTGGAAAATTATTATTGTATAAAATGTTTAATATAATAAAATTCATTTATAATACAGTAATGTAATTAATTAATTGGTCAATAATTGAAAATAATATCTATTATACTTATAATATATCTTTACATATTGTATTACAATATGCCGTTGATAAAAGACAATTTAAAATGTATAACTTAGATAAAAATTTATGTAATTTAATTTTAATACATTTTTGTTTTCATAATAATATAAATAATGTTAAACTAAATCTATAAAGTGTTAAATTCGTGAACTTACTATTGTATAATGAATATTATCCAAATAAAATCCTTATAACAAATACATTTAATACAAATATGTTTAACAATAATTCTTAAATACTGTATATTTAAATATTTAAAAATAAAAGTAAAATCAATAATTATTAAATATACATATTAAGTGCTTATTTTTATAATAAGTCGATAACTTGTGGCTAAGCATAGATGTCCAAGCACAGTTCTTGATTATACGTGGCACAAGAATTGCGTTTGGACAATCACGGCTTACAACCAGCTCATTTCATACCAGACAGCAAATGCTATTATCAAGCGGTAGTGTCCATCACTTAAACATTGCATTTAAAAGCAATAATTGTATGAAATTATGTGTTTCATTGGTCCCCATTGAATGGCAATACAGATGTAGTGCTGGAAAGTGCTCTTTAAGTATAAATCCAATTATTGAAAATCCCAAACACATTGAGTTTGAAAAAATCGTATAAAACTATTACTACTTAAAAATAATCAAATAATAATTAGTCATGTTTTTAGACTTTAATTAGATTTCAGCGTTAAATGGATGGATGTTTTGTTCGGCGAATGAAACTAAGATTAAGAGGAAATAATAGTAAATTAGTTTGTTTTGCACAACAAAAAAGTTTTAATGTATTTAAGAGATACTTATAAGCTTTGTATTGAATGTTCATTATTTCAATAATGCTATCATTTATTTAATAATCAGAATATGCTTTCCAGTGAATACATTAGCTTTTTTGGTGACACAATCACTGAAAAGTGATTATTTCTAGTGAGTCGAGAGAGAGAGAGAGAGCACAAAGTAAAGCGGAGTTTGTGATGAGAATATATTCGGTAATATTTAGCGATAAAAACTGATCCCAAATAACACAATGGAAGCACTGGACGGAAAAATGCAGTTTAATATGAATTGTACGACACATACAGTAGTCGATAGAGTGAATGGCAGGGCTCGCACTCACATATACTTCGCACTCGACTCTCAATAAATATGATGATAAGCAGCGCCGGGAGTGCTCACCACTTCTGCCAACATCTCTCTCTCGACTCACTAGAAATAATCACTTTTCAGTGATTGTGTCACCAAAAAAGCTAATGTATTCACTGGAAAGCATATTCTGATTATTAAATAAATGATAGCATTATTGAAA